ACATAAGAATACAAGAAAAATGCAAAATATCATTCATATGTCATGGTCCTCCACACAGTGATGCATAAAAAACATCCTGTTCTAAATATGGTAGAGAGATTAGTGAATCAAAAAATAAAATAAAATAAATCTTGCTGGAAGGTCGAACTGTCTCTGTCAGTGTTCAATAGTTTCTTAGCCCTGTCTCTGACGTCTCTTGGGACCACCAAACCCCGATCAGCCCTGGAAAACCCAGTCTCTATCCCACCGATCTGGGCTTCAGATACCTCAGGCTCAGCCACACTGCAGTCCCAAGATCTCAATGCTGCTCCTACTTGCAGAGAGACCACCAGGGATACACTTATGCAAAGGAGCAACCCTGAGATGCAGCAGCACGACAAGGGCCACAGCACTCTCAGCAGAAAGACCCCATGCGCCTTGAAACCTGCAGACACCTGGAGGTCCCAGCTGGAGTCCCCAGACAGAGACCTTTGTGGTGGTAAATTGCTAGCACCCGGACCCCAGGCCCTGGCTGGTCTCCCAAAATGGGTGCAGCCACGTGCAACCAAACCTGGAGTCTCCCCCAAAGCAGTCCTCTAGGCGGTGGTAGCAGCTGTAGTGGTGGTGGTTGTTGGCAGCAGGCAGCAGGTCAGCAGTAGTGGCTGCAGTGGCAGCTACAACTGCAGCTGTGGGGGAGTGTCACCAGGCAATCTCTGGGGGTCATCAGCAGTGTCAGCTTCAGTTGCATTCAGGGCAGCAGTTTCTTCTGTGGCAGCAGCACCCAGAAAGAAGACCTCCAGGTGACCTTAGGCTGGCAACAGCAGAATCAGAGGCAGCAGCAATGGCAGTAGTGGTGCAGGCAATGGTTGATTGACAGGAGACTTCTGGTTCAGTGGCAGCAACCACGGAGGTAGCATTGGAAATCAGGTCTGAGGTAACTGATGTTGTGCCCAGAGAAGAGGCCTCTGGGCATGACAGCAACGGTCTGTGGCATAATAAATCTTGAAGGGACCCTCACAGTATATCCTTTAATGCCACGAGTAATCTCTTCTACCTTCCCTAGTAGATTTCAGAATGGGCTGGAGGTGACTGGATGTCCAGGGTCACAGGATGAGGACACCAGTTTCTAGAACACTTTTTAGGGAGCCAGCCTTTGTCTTGATGTGGTGTCTTCACCCAGAGCATGCACCTGCGGTAGAACACATCCACTTTTCCTAAGATGGCCAGAGGAGCCACCGTGTGTTCAAGTGACTGTGACCAGAGTCCAGAGTCGAGGGAAGGACAGGGTGGCTCTGCATCCCATTGGGAACAGGGAATGCATGGAGTCATGGCTCCCAGCGCTTCCCTGAACCTGGGCATACTGTGTGCAGGTGGGAGGGGCTCCCTTGAGTGACAGCCTATCATAACACAGTACTCACAGACCAGCAGCTGTGGCCTTCTCTGGGCCCTGCCTTTTTAAGGCAGCTCTCCTCCTGTCCCTGTTCCTTCTGGAGTTGCCTCCTCCACCTCACTCAGCTTTCCAGCTTACCTTCCTTCCTCCTACTTCCTAGGCTCGGGGACCTTTTCCTAGAGCCCCATTTTCTAATCTTGTGCTGAATGGCAGTTCCTCTTCCCCCCAGCTGCTACATTGAGCCCTGCTGCACTCTCCAACCCCAGGCACCGAAACCCTGGGTCCCATTTGCTTTCTTTTTTTTTTTTTTGTGAGAGAGTGAGAGAGGAGAGAGAGAGAGAGAGAGAGAGAGAGAGAGAATTTTTTAATATTTATTTTTTAGTTCTCGGTGGACACAACACCTTGGTTGGTATGTGGTGCTGAGGATCGAACCCGGGCAGCACGCATGCCAGGCGAGCGCGCTACCGCTGAGCCACATCCCCAGCCCCTTGCTTTCTTATTTTGGAATGAGCCCATGGACTTTTTAAATTGAGACATAATTCACATACTTTATAATCCACCCATTTACATGTACAATTCAGTGGAGGTTTTGTATATTCATTTTTTAAAATTATGGTAAAATGTAGAATCTAAATTTACCATTTTAAGTGAACAATTGGATGACATTAATTATACTCACAATATTGTACAACCATCATCACCAGTATCTATTTCGAGCTCTCTTTTTGCCACAACCAAAACTTCTATACTCAAAAGCAGTAACTCCCCATTTCTCTCTGCCCCCAGCCCCAGTCTTTGGCACTTCTAATCTATTTTCTATCTGTATGGATTCACCTATTCTAGATATCTCATATTTGTAGAGTTATACAAAATTTGTTTCTGGTTTCTTTCACTTAATGTTTCGAAGATTCATCCATAGTGCAACATGTGTCGGAACTTCATTCAACCTTAGACTGAAGAGTACTCCATTGTATGGATGTGCCACATTTTGTCACTTCATCTGTTGATGGACACTTAGATCGTTTTCACCTTTTTACTGTTGTGAATAACACTGCTGTAAACATTGGCATAGATACCTGTTTCAGTTTGTCTTTCACTCCCTTCAGGCACATGCCTAGAAATGGAATTGCTGGGTCACATAGTCACTTTATGTTTAGCTTTTAGAGCATTAAGCATTTGGACTGTTACAAGTGAGAAATGTGGGTCTTTATTAATTAAAATGTATCTATTTTATCTAAGTTAACGGGAAGTGCTATAATGTATGCAGCCAATTCATTCCTCACCTTCTTTTGATTTCTTAACAATTATCATCTGTGCGACTCATTTGACAGTTAATCACGGAAGACTTTGTGACATCCATTATTCTCTTTAACTGCTTATTTTAAAGCTTTCACTATTTAACTTGTCGTGTTGTCATACAGTCTCCCCCTGAGATTTTAATCTTGAGGGCAGAGACATGTATCATATTGCTTTGTAAAGTTATTCCTGCACACTCAGCATAGGTCTCAATGATTCTTAGCTGGTGACTTCTCGCTGTCTTTCTTATCAATCTTCTGGCTTATGCATAGGCTAGAAGAKAAGGAACTTTTCCAGCTAGTCCTTGCCCTACTAGAATTCTCTTTGCCTAAATAAGTTTTTTTGCAATACTAATTAAAATAGCACAATTGGGTAGCCTTTATCCAAAATGCTGAAGACCAGAAGTGGATTTCAGATTTTTTTTAGATTATGGAATATTCACGTATACATAATGAGATATCTTGGGGAGGGGAGCAAAGTCTAAGCACAGTATTTATTTGTGTTTTATATAAACTTGACATACATGGCATGAATGTACCTTGAAACTTCATACAATATTTTTAGTATTTTGACTGTGACCTACCACCTGAGATCAGGGGTTGAATTTTCCACTTTTGGCATCATGTCAGCGCTCCAGAGATTTTGGATGTTGGATTTGGAGGCTAGAGATACTCAACATAGAATAATAGTAGCTAACTTTTATGGAATACTTACCCTATAGCATGAACATGCACTATTCCAAGCCCTCTACTTCTATTTTCTCACTTAGTTCTCAGAACAAATCTCTGGCATAGCTGCTATTTTTTTTAAATATTCTTAGTTGTAGATGGACATAATACCTTTATTTTATTTATGTGGTGCTAAGGATTGAACCTAATACCTCACGTGTGCCAGGCAAACACTCTACCACTGAACTATRTAACCCCAGCCCATAATTACAGCTCTTACCTACGTTTTATTAAGGAGGCAGAAGAATCCCTGAGAGGTTGAATAGCTATGGAGGTCCTGCTCAGCACATAACAAAGTGAGGCCTCTGGCCCATCTTCTTACCCACAGACCCATTTAGGGATCTTCTGATCAGAGCCAGAGAGGACACCATTTGCAGCCTCTGGAGGAATTATCCAGATCAGATGTCAGTTGTGCTGGATACCAGGAGCAGGGACCAGGCCCTCGCATGGCCTTTACAACACCAGCCCTTCCAGCCTCCTCTGCTTGCCTTCTGCCTGGACACCCCGGGCCATTGAATGTGCCCACTTCCATGCTGCCCTTCGAGTAGCAGAGATCCCTCTTGAAAAGAGATTGGTCTGGCCTGGCCCTTTAATGTTGGGCAAGACTCCTTGGGGGTCATTGGGAGTCCGTCAGGCTCTATAAATACCAGAAACTGACCACCTTGCTTTGGCAGTTATTTCTGAAAAACAAATGATCAGTATACAAAAATAGAGCATCCATTTATAAAACTTTGCACAATAAGCAATAAGTCCCACATCCATCACCCTAACCCTCTCCCTAGGTTGGGAGGCAGTAGGACTGATTCCCAGAGAAACCCACTAACGTAAATATCTCTGAACAGAAGGTACTGGCCAAGAGCCATCCCGAGCCAGCTCCACCCTGCTGCAGATGAAGTTCCAGACAGAAGATGCCCAGGGGTTGAGAGCGACTTCCTCCCGCCTCAGCATGCAGGAGCCTTTCCACCAGGCCCTAGTGCAGTACCATCTCCTCCCTGATCTTGGCCCAGGCGATGTGGAAGCTGCAGGATGGTCAGACTTCCCCTAAGCAGGGGACTCCTGGAGGTCCCAGTGCCCTGCCCACCAAGTCACCCCACAGAGAGAGGGCACCAGATCCAGCTCTCCTCGCCCTTTCTCAGCACTCCTGCGCTGTGCTGGGGGTCATACTCTCAGAGCAGTGCTGTGCCTTGGGTGACCCGTCCCCTCCTGCTAAAGCTCTCGTTCTCACAGGCCCAAGCCTACGCTTATGATCACTTTTCTTCCAATGCTGTTCTCCCAGACTGAGTCTCAGGTTGCCAGTTCTTTAGGTTCTCTCTCCTTACTCAGATAGCCTGTGCTGGTGGCCCAGAGGGGGTTGCCACACAGCTCTGCTGAGCCTGCCACACGGGGGAGAGCCCAGGGTCACCCAGAAGCTTCTCACTTCCCAATTTCCAGAAGCCCAGCAGAAGCCTCTTCCTCCTCCTAAACACGTGCCTTGCCGGTGGTTAGATGGGTGACATTTGTGAACCTAGGGTACAGCAAGGGGCTTCACATGGCGAGTCCCTGAAATGCTGTATGGCATCTCACCTTACAATCTTCTCACAGTTCTTCTTCTCACTTTGCCTTTGCAGCACTGTCTCCAAGCAAAGAAAAAATGTCATCAGCTGTGTCACAGTCCACGACTCTCCCTACTCGGACTCCTCCAGCAACACCAGCCCCTACTCTGTGCAGCAGCGTGCCGGGCACAATAACACCAACGCCTTTGACAGCAAGGGGACCCTGGAGAATCATTGCACTGGCAACCCCCGAACCATCATCGTGCCCCCCTTGAAGACCCAGGCCAGTGAGGTGTTGGTGGAATGTGACAGCCTGGGGCCAGGTAACTTGGGGCCAGGGCAGGCTGGAAACTGCTCTCTGGAGGTTGCGTTTCTTGTTTTCTAACTGCTAGGAACGTGAGCGCTAGTAAAATAGCAAGTGCTCCATTATCACCCATGGTCAAGGTCAGATTCACCTTCCATAAGCAGAATTTTCCTTTTTTAATTCTATAATTAATACCTTGCCACCTTCATAGTGGCTCTGCTTTCAACGAGGTTGGTAAATAAGAAGTGAAAGCCTCTCGCTCTCTATCCACGGTCTGTGGTGATACCTGTGTGGAACATTCCTAACTGATGTCAAGCATCGCTCCCTGCCAGGAGCCTATGCTGGTCATTCATGTGTCCCCTGTAGGAAGAACTTTCTCCCAAGTCTTTTTAGCGAAGGGTCAGATAGGCTTCTCTGAGCCCCTCCTCAAAATTCCCCCTTTGGAGGAAAAATCTCCCAAGTGTGATGTTTGGCTTTATTGAGAGAATGACCATCCTGAGAACTGGGCCCGAGCACAAGCCTGGGAATTCACCCCTCAGCCGAACAGCTCACTGCAGACTGACGCAGCAGCCCCTCTCCAGCTTTCCCTTGCTCGGGCTCACTGTGGGAGAATTTGGGGAGTTAACCAAAAGAAATCTGCATGATCTGCATTTCTGCCCCCTTTCCCTCACCAGCCACAGTCAGGCTGTGGCAGAGAATTAAATAATGATAYAATGTCCATTATGACAGAAATCATGTCCTTTCCAAGTATTTAACCTTAAAAATGTGTGCTGGGTCTAGTTTTAAACAGTTACCTAGGGGATATCTGGGCAGAACAGTGAGCAGGCCTCTGCTGTGAGGAAGCCTGTGTCCCACAGTGAAGTACTTTGCCTCATAGGTCCCTTTGGTGACCTTCGTGATGCCACTATTTAGAGGGAAAGGACACACACTGCTGAGATTTGTGTAGATGTAGGAAGCTGTTGTTCTAAGGAGGGACCTCCTCTCTGTCACCATTGCCATTGGAGTCGGGAATCTTCCTGGGATGGTCACCATGTATGATGCCTGGGAGGAACAGGCCATTCAGGCACTGCCACTGAGGGTACAGAGCAGGATTCAGGATGGGGCCTTGAGGGACGTTTTARACTCTGCCACAGGCCAGCCTGCACACATGGGCCAGTGTCCTAAGACGCCCTCCTAGAACTCACGGTGAAGCCTGCAACTGGGCCTTTCTTACACCAAGAAGCTCTGCTTGGAGGGGAAGTGGAAGTAGCCTCCGCTTCTTTCTCCTCCAGCACCCTCTTCATAACCCAGGAGCTGAGGAGAGGCAGCCCTCTCAGGCCTCCTTCCTCAGAAGAAGCATCTGGTAAACAGCCATCCCTGCACCATGCCAAGCGCTCATACCCTGGCCCGCCCCCTGCAGTCCACGGAGACAGTACAGCTCTTAGAAGCCTTCACTTCAGGGTCAGTGCTGCAGGGCCAGAGGCAGAACAGGTAGGCGGTCCTGGGACCAAAACCTGAGAATTAAATGTGGGGCTGCCAGGCCACTCCATGAAGGAGACATTCTAGGAGGTCATGTTTCTGGAAGGGGGAGGCCTTACCTTCAGGGAAACATGAACCCACAGCAGCCAGAAGCGGAGCATGTCTGGTTTACAGGACAGTCTCTACTGACTGCCAGTGTCTTCTGAAGCCTGGAAACCAGGCTGGAGCCCCCCAAACTAGGCACCTCTGTGAGGTAACAAAAACAAGGCTGACCCTTCCTAAGGCCACAAGGACACCTCTCCAAAAAACCTCTTTTCTACCCAGGAAGATATTTTGGTGGAAACCATGCAGGAAGCAACATTTTTAAGGTTAAATATTTGAAAAGGACATGATTTCTGTCACAGTGCACATTATATTATTATTTTAAAAAATATTTTTAGTTGTAGACCTACACAATAACTTTATGTTAAGTTATTTCTTTTATGTGTGCTGAGGACTGAACCCAGTGCTCACACCTGCTAGGCAAATGCTCTACCACTGAGCCACAACCCCAGCCCCATTGTATCATTATTTAATTCTCTAAATACATGTTTTTTGTTTTTTGTTACTGGGGATTGAACCCAAGAGTACTTAACCACTGAGCCACATCCCCAGCCCTTTGTTATATCTTTATTTAGAGACAGGGTCTTGCCAACTTGCTTAGGGACTTGCTGAATTGCTGAGGTTGGCTTTGAACTTGTGACTCTCCAGCCTCAGTCTCCCAAGCCTCTGGGATTACAGGCGTGTGTCACCGCACCTGGCTCTAAATACAGGTTTGTGGAAGGCCTACAGCTGCAGATTGAACTCAGGACATGGGGAGTCTTCTAGGGGTGAGGGTGCTCCTCTTGGACTATGCCTGCCCTTCCAGCTGGTGGAAGTTTTCAAAACCAATATGATCCTTTGTCTGTAAAGTCATCCTAGGCTTGGAAGATCCTGGAAGGCAGCCTTCCTCGGCTTTCTGGTTTCCAGGAGGCCTGCACAGGCCAAGGCACACACCTGCTGCAGCCCTGACCCCTGGCCTGAGCCCCTAGCATCAGAGGGTTCAGAGTTCCATGAGCCTACTCAGGTCAGGGTGAACCCTGTTTCTAAACAGTGTGTTCCTCACAGACCATCCTTCCAAGGTTCTTGGATCAGAAGGTCCTTGAGGATTTCTCACATTGGCCCTGGGGGTTAGTTGAGGATCTTCTGGAAGGCAATAGAAAAAACTCTCCACTGGCCTGAGACAAAGAATATATTGGAAGGATGCAGGACTGAGGGAAAGTTCAACAATTAAGTTCCAGGCAGGCCAGAGCCAGAGCTCCTGGCACCTGAGCCACCAGAGGCCAGATACCTGTGCTTTAGAGCAGCCTTTGCCCAACATGGGCCTAGTGACACCCAGGCTCCCAGGTTCCCCTTTCCAGGAGCCTCGTATTGACCCTCCTAGTTTGGAGCAAGCACTGTTCCTTGTACATCTGCTCTTGCCAGGGCTCAGTGTTCAGTAGACCAACCAACACGAGTGATAGCTAATGCAGCTGATGCATGCTGACTGCAGGGAGTGCCAGGCAGCAAGCAGTCTGCATGTGGCGGCCCAGTCAGCAAGCAGTCTGCATGTGGCGGCCCAGGCAGCAAGCAGTCTGCATGTAGCCCTGCATGTAGATATTGCTGTTTTCCTAGTTTTACAGGTGAAAAAAAGTTTAGCAAACACATCAAGGCAGCCAACTGGCCCAAAGCCCTGTCCAGGCCTCCCAGGGTCTGGCTCTAGAGCTCACCCAAGCTGCACATGCTCCCTCACCTGGTGTAGATAGGGCACAAATGGCTGTTTCCAGAACAAAGGGATCCCTGAGTAACTGGGTTAGGTATGAGCAGAAAAGTCTGTTTCCTTACAACCCAGAACCTACATTAGGAGACCATCCTCCATCATAAGCCCATTGCCCCTTTATTGATCTCTGCAGATAGAATTGCTGCATGAATCTCCTGGTCCCTTCAGGACCCCTCCTTTATCAAGGGCTCTCTGCTCTAACAGCTTGACCAACTCTGACTCAGCTCCTGTCTCCTGTTCCCACAATGATGGTAGCAGGCACACACCAGGCTCAGTAACCTTGTCACTTGCAGACTCAGGCTGTAAATCCCTCCGGCTCATTGTTTCCCCCTCAGATGTAATAACCACAAGATGTCCAGGAAGTAGGAATAGGAGCAGAGCGTGATCCAGAGCTGGGCCCAGCAGCAAGCCCAGCCTGCAATCTGCTGCAGAGAGGGAAGGGGGTAGACAGTCACCTGGCTGAGGGAAGAAGAGAAGCAAGCCCTCCTGATGGCCAGCACTCACAGCCTTCTATGTTTAGGACCACAAAAACCCCTTCTTCCCCTGCAATTTTGGGGAGGGCCTTTGAGGGTCTAATTGGGTTTGGATTGGGCACAGTGTTGGGTCTCAGGACCTGATTCCCAAATGCAGGTCTGTTCTGTGGGGCCAGGCTGGCTCTGGATGGCTGGGAAGTTCAACATGCCAATTCCCAGGCACCCACCCGAGGGACTCTGAAGCAGTGGGTGGGTAGGAGGGGCCCTGGGTGCCAATACATAGTTGGATTGGGGGCCTCTATTCAGGACCCACCACCTTCCACTCTACTGAGGCGGCTCTCCTTTCACTCTGGATCTGTGTTGAGTGGCAGGAGGCTCCTCTCTGCCTTCAGTGTGTGCCCTGTCCCTGGGTTTCCAGTTCCCTTTGCCCTTCTACTGAAGCGAAGCCCTTTGAAAGTACTCTTGTCCTTTCATCAACAGTTGATCCGCATACTTGGTTTGGCCCCAGCTTCAAGCTTCTCTCTTTGACTTTGATTTCGTCACCCAGGGGGTTTGTCACAGAATTGGCCCAATCTAATTCATTCAAATGCCTGATCTTTATTATGTGTGGTTCATTAATATTTAACACCCTCTCTCCCAGGAATGACCAGATTCACCAGTTTTATACCAGTTGCAACGGGATACCTGGTTGAGACAGTGATAGGCCTCTGTTTTGGCCTAAGATGCTCAGGCCCCAACATAAAATTTCCTGGATTCTTGTTGCCACACAGCCTGAGATGGAGAACTGATTTTTTACAGTCTTGCCACTTCTTCCCTCATGGTTCTCTTGAACACCAACTTTGGGCACCTTCCCCAAAATGGGCAGTTTTCATGCTGGGGAGTCAGGTGAAGGAGACAGTGTTTGGGTAGCTGACTGGATCCCCTGTACCAAGGGCCCTTTCCATGTTACCTGTCAATTATTTCATCTTGATGTTCATGCATCTGTGGTAGACAGGGCTTCTCGTTGGTTTCTAGAGACACACTGAGGAGCACGCCAGCAGTGACACTAGATCTGCGCTCCGCCAGGTCCAGCGAGTGGCAGTCCTTCCCTGTGCTTTACCAAGCCGCCTGCTGGGAGCTGGTGTTCACATATTGCTCATCACCAAAACTGACAAAAATGAGTTATTTCATGGAAATGTCTTGTACTATTCATTTCATTCTAGTTTTTTTTTCCTCTAGGGCATGTGGCCCTGTCTTTTGAGACTCAGTTATCTGATTCCTTCTGTCACTTTGTGTCTGTCTCAGCTCCCCACCAGCCCCACAGCACACTGAAGACCTGTCCAGATCTCTGCTTCTCTTTTCTCTTACACCCTTCTTATTCTTTCCAGTGTTACCAGATAGTAATTCTGAGTACAGCAAGGTTTGCAGAAAATATAAATCACAGAAATACACTTGTCCTCTATAGAAAGTGAAGATAGTAAAAGTCATATTCCAAAAAACTTAACAAAGAAAATTGAGTCACTAAGTACAAGTCACAGGCATGAAGTGCTCAAACATAGAACAATGTGAGCCAATATCTGTCCTTAGACTGAGGATCAGCACCTGTCCCAACCAGCAGGGAAGTCAGATCGCCCCAGCCCCACCCCAGGCTGCAGATGCCTTTCTGGCTGGCCTGCTCATATTGGCCCTTTCCATCTCTATGATCTGTGATGCCTCTCCTTATTCCTGCTGTCACCTCATCCATTCTGGGTGACTAATAGTCACAGTGCCCAGCCCAAGCAGGAGCTCAAACTTATTTGTTGGCTGATTAAGACAGCTGGTCTTTGGAGAGGCTCCTTGGCTCCCTCTGGCTGCCCAGCCAGAACTATCCTACCTAGGTGACAGCCCACCATTCCTAGAGCCCCTGAGCCCCTGGAGTGTGGGAGCGCCTGCCAGCAGTGGCAGCACCTGGAGGCTTGTTAGAATTCAGATTCTCCACCCACCTTAAGTTGTTGGGCCAGAATCAGGATTCCCGGGGTTTGGCGCCCCCTGCTGGCAAGGTAGAATTCCTGCATCTACAGCCCCCTTATCAGGGGAGGAAACTACTTGACCATGTTCAACTCCTGGGCTAGTCCCGGAGTGAATTCATCTTAACTTAACCAACGGAGCAAGCCGGAGCCCAGCTGCCACTCCAAAGTCAAGACTGAGTGTGGGGGCTGAGGCTGATTTTTGCACAGCCAGTCTCAGGGACGTGTCCTCCTGGGAAGGCCACTGTAACCTGAAGTGGGAGCATCTTCCTGTCAACCAAGGAGCCGCCACTGACCTATGACCTGTTCCTCCTCCTATCACAGTCAACACCAGTCACCACTCGTCCTCCTACAAGTCCAAGTCCTCCAGCAATGTGACCTCTACCAGCGGTCATTCTTCAGGGAGCTCGTCGGGAGCCATCGCCTACCGGCAGCAGCGGCCAGGCCCCCATTTCCAGCAGCAGCAGCCCCTCAATCTCAGTCAGGTAAGCCCCACTCGGGCCCATCGCCTCAGCTGCCCACTCTTCAGCTGCAGAGAGGGTCATGGAGGCAGCCCTCGCCACCTCTTGGGCCTGTGGTTCCCCTAGTGGTGGCAGGAGGTTTCCTGAGTGACCTCCGCGGCTTCTCCTTACTGCAGGGAAGGAAACCTCACACCTGTTCCACAGAACAAGGAAAAGAATGGCCTAGGATCTCACGTGTCTCGGCGGCTTAGGTTCTCGAGGGGAAAGAGGGCTATTTGGTTGGACTAATAGAATTTCAAACAGAGTTGTCTTAAGAGTCTGAGATTTCACAGTGGGTAAGAAAGTAGTCCCCCTCAAAACAGGATCTCTTGACACCTCACATCCCACTGCCTTTGTCCTGGCTTGCTCTGTGTCATCCCAGCCTGCGCACAGCAGGCCAGATGTCCCTTTCTCAGTCCAAACTTATTTTCACTGTCACCACACAAAGGGAAGCATCTGTTGTCCCTCCTGCCGCCCCTTCTCCTCACCCCCCTCCTCCCCACTGGCCTCCCCCTCCTCCCCTGACGCAGCCCCTCTCACTGCTTCTTCTCAGGCCCAGCAGCACATGGCCGCAGACCGCACCGGGAGCCATCGACGGCAGCAGGCCTACATCGCTCCCACCATGGCTCAGGCTCCGTACACCTTCCCACACAACAGCCCCAGCCACGGCACTGTCCACCCCCACCTGGCTGCTGCTGCCGCCGCCCACCTCCCCACCCAGCCTCACCTCTACACCTACACAGCGCCTGCAGCCCTGGGCTCCACTGGCACCGTGGCCCACCTGGTGGCCTCCCAAGGCTCRGCTCGCCACACCGTGCAGCACACTGCCTACCCGGCCAGCATCGTCCACCAGGTCCCCGTGAGCATGGGCCCCCGGGTCCTGCCCTCGCCCACCATCCACCCAAGTCAGTATCCAGCCCAGTTTGCCCACCAGACCTACATCAGCGCCTCGCCAGCCTCCACCGTCTACACTGGATACCCACTGAGCCCTGCCAAGGTCAACCAGTACCCTTACATATAACCACGGGCCTGGGGAGGGGAGGGAGGGAGGCTGCTCCTGGGACCCTGGGGAGCCGGCTTTTTATACTGAGGTGCCGCACACAAACAATGCAAAAGGGGCAGGGGAGGGGGGCAGGGGACAGGGACGGGACACCAATGAAACTTGAACTAGGAAGTGGGAGGACTTAGAGCAGAGAACATTTTAAAAGGAAGGGATTAAGGAGAGGGAAATCTATGCTTTTTATTTTAAAAAAAGAAAAAGAAAAAAAAAGAAAACATCAGTAACAAAAAAAAATTTAAAAAAAAAATTTAAAAAACAGCTCACAAACCCATTCTGCACCAAACTGGAAAGGAGAAGAAGAGAGCCACGGGAAGATTCCAGAAGCGAGGGGCCCCAGTTTTTGAAGAACTTTATCTATGAACTTTTCAAAAGATTATTTTCATATGGCAGCGAATAACATTGAAGAATTTGCTGTCAGGGACACCTGATATGGAAATCCAATAGATTTTTAATTAATTAAACATAAGAATTAGGGATTTTTCCAGAATGCTAAAGGGTTAACACCTCTCCATAGTCAGGCCATGGCCTGAGAGGCTGATTTGGGGGTTGGGGGGCTGGCGAAGCCCAGCCCTGGCTTGTTTATCAGAAATGATGGGCTCTGCCAGGCTGACCAGAAACCCCCTGGGAGGGGCGGGTTTTCTCTTCTGAGCACTCTGGATAAATCCCTAAGCAATGTTATTCCTCAGATGTCATTAACGATGTGTGTGACAAACTTGAGATTTTTTTTCCTTTCTGAAGATCTATTTTCCTTTGAGTCCACCCCATCACGTAGCGCAGGCTGGCGCCGTCAAGGTACCCTGGTGGAATGTAGCCCTGCGCCCTTGCTGTGTACCTTGTGTTCAACTCCAGCGATACCAATAGACTATTCCTGTGTAATTGCACAAAACAAAGTGGTATAACTTAGGCGTGTAACCAATGCAGTGGTCCCGGTGAGCGAGCGTGTGTGGCCAGCGCATGGGTGTGAGCGCGGAGGCCACCCTCCCTGTGTCCCTCGGCACCGCGTCACAGCCCTCGAAGTCTTGCTTTTGCATCATTCCCTCCTAGTGCCTTACGGAACGACAGACAGACTCGGTGTAGGGAGGCTCCCGCTGGCACCCCAGGAAGCCAGCCGGGCTGATCCAGGCCACCTCAGCTCTTCTGTTGCGCTGTTGGAACATTCACTCGGGTCTTTCCTTTTTGGTTCTTTCTGTTGTTGTTTTTCCCCATGCCCATTGTCCTTCTTGGGCTGTTTGCTGGCAGGGCTTCAAGGAGAATCCGTGGACTTGAGAGTGACGGGGCTCTGTGGTGGGAGGGCACATCTGATGACCCAAATGCTTTGTGTTGAGTTTTACTTTGGGAGCAGACACCCAGAGACTCCCCACCCTTCACCTTCACCCTGCCCAGTTCTGCCCATCAGACCAGCTCTGGCACTGATACCAGGGATTTTAGGAATGTCCACTTTGCAGAGCAGCAGCCTCCAGGCCCACCACCACCTTCCTACGACCGTCTGCAGGGACTCGAGGAGGCTACACACACCCCAGCTGCACCCCGGTCCCTCCATCCCACAGGAAGCCTGGCGTCCGCAGCCCCGCCCCACGCTTCCCTCTCCACCAGCTCCCTGGGCGCTGTTTTGCTCTGCCCATTTGGCCAGATCCCCAGCTCTATAGACAACCACCAACCCGTTTGTTGTTGAATTCTTTCCTTGGATTACCCAGATCTGCTCAAGACATGATTTTGGTCTTGGCATTTGAGGAGTCTGGTGGGCAGAGGTTGGAGGGATGCTGATGAGGGTGACCAGGGGTCCTATGCTGCACTTGAGAAAACACTCTCACAGATGATTAAGTCTCCAAAGAAATCTGGCCTGCACCCTCTATGTACATTGGCTCCATCCTGGAAGTTTTCTCAGGCTTTGGATACGGCAGGTAGGGATGGGAAGGGAGTCCTCTCTGCTCTTAGGGAACAACTCTGAAGCAGGTAGACACTCAGAAGCCCTCTGGTCAAGAACGGGGCTTGACGGGTGGCTCTGATTGTTTGATCCTGACGCAGAGTCCTTACCTGACACCTCAGCCAAGTTCCAGGTGCAAAGAGATCTTCTGGGTCAGAGCCTCGGCCTTCTCCTTGCCTTTGCTGCCTCACTCTGCAGGCCCTAGCGATCTACTGTGAAAGGGGTTTTCGTAGTGATATCCGCCCTCACTCAGTAATGAAGTCGGTACTTAGCTCTTAGCTGTGAAGGAACTCCGGAAACTTCCCCTCCCCGAACATAAATTCTTACAAAGAAATAGGTCCCCGGACTGGAGAGGATGAAGTGCCGGCCTTGGGCCCGAAGGAAGGACACAGCACCTGTGCAAGGCCAGGCACACTCAGTGGTGCCACAAGGACCCGCCTGAGGCAGGCCTGCAGTGGATCTGCAGGAGATGCTCCCTGGGGCCCAGATCAGTGCGGCTTCAGCTGGAGGTGGGGAGGCGCCTGTCCCGAGACAGCAGGAAGAGGCCAGCTGAGAGTGCGAGGGCGCAGGCCTTCAGAGGACGCCGGCCTTCAGAGGACGCCGGAACTGGAGCCGCGCCACCCTGGAAAACCTTTCTGTTTGGACTTTCAGCAGCAAAATGGCCACACAGTCCCACCAGATCCTCTCCTACAGTTACAAGGCGTCTAGTCTTGGCTGAAAATGAGCCTCAGTCTGCCTGTCTGAGCAGAGCTCTGGACTCCTGGCACAGTGCAGTTCCAGCCCTTTCTAGATCTCATCTTTTAGGGGGAAAGACGACTTCCAATGTTCTTTCCGTTTCCTTTTGTCTGCTTAAATTGAAGCTTCTCACTCTTTCACCTGATGTTTTCTTTCCTTTTCTCCTTCCAGATCAGGAATGAAAGTTCCATGCTGCTCATGAAGTCGATATTATTGTGCTGATTATTTTTGTTATTGCCATTGTAATTATGTTCATTATCATCGTATTGCTGTTTTAGTCAGGGTTTTAAATGCACATTTATTCCAAGTTTCTTTGTGTTTTCTCTTTAATATTTAAATTTACTGTATCTGTGAGTATAGGAGAAGACTGGAGGGACATACAGATGTCCGATTTTGTCAGACAAAAAAAAAAAAAAAAGCCCTGGAATTAGGAAGATTGTTTCTATCATTTCTTCCACAAAGAGCCACTGAGGAAGACCTACCACAGAGCAAAGTGTGAAGAGTCAAGGCCTTTTCCTCTGCAAAACCCAGCTGAGGCCCTGGACAGCATGATCGCCATTGGTGTATTTTTCTGATTTCCAGTAGCCTGGGAGGCCACCTGAGGAGGCAGCTTCTGGGCTCAGGGACTCTGGGTGCACTGACCCTGGAACCCTTAGCTTCTCCCCCCACTTTCTACGCTCTCCTGTTCATCCCCAATGTGCTAACTACACTCTTAGCCTGCCTCATATCTGTTATTTAAGCAAAAAAGCTCCTCTTCCCAGAGCTCACCCAGCCCCTTTCCAAAACATTCACCCTTCCCATCAGCCCCCCCAAAGCGTGGCTTGCATCCTTCAGTGCAGAGGCAGTTCCCCCTCCCCCCCAGCCTCTGTCTTACTTTGCCTCAATAACCACCTCCCCCACTTCTTTGGTCTGCCCCTTCCCCCTGGATACATCCTCCCAGCACATAGTTCTCTCAAGCCAAATAAAGGTGGCAGAATGAGGAAGAAGCCAGAGAACCCCGAGTGAAGCCACTCAGACATTGCCACATGTCCCCCACAATATTCTTTACAAGTGGGGGAGCACGGCAGGACCTCGCAGCCTTTCCTGGGCTCTTCCTGTGCCCTCAGTGTCCTGGGCTGTGAGTGATGGGTGCCCACACACTGCCCACCAAGCCCAGGAACTGCTAAAGCTAAAGTGGCCAGTTTCCCTGAAGGGAAGTAAGCTGTTGGGCAGTGGACAGCCCCTCTGACACTCAGCAGATATTCATGTCCACCTAGTCCTCACCCAGCATCCTTTGTCTCAAGCACAAAGCTGTTGCATTGGAAGCCACACAAGGAGACTCCAGCGTGACCATTAGCTTCCGTGCCCAAACCCCACACCCCTGGTACTCCAGCACTAAACCCCCTTGGCAGAGAGTCTCATAAAAGGGTGCCATCCCTGGGACCAAGCTTTCAAGTGGGGAGATGTTCTCCTTGTCCTCAGGTAGACCACAAATCCCCTATGGCCTCACCAAGCCTTGGATTGGCTCCATCCTTCCTCAGTGAAGAAACTCAGCTCAGAGTGAAGGGAGGATCGAGAAGGACAGGTCACAGAGAAGCGTTTCATTGGAACCTCATGAACCTCAGGTCAGTGTGCTCCCCCAGGGTTCTCACCCATCCAGGCGGTGGCGCCCATGTCCTTGTGCTTAGTGCCTCTGGTGATATTTGGGATGTTCCCAAGAGAAAGGGTGAGCAGGCCAATGGTGTGCAAGTCCAGTGGATGTCAGTTTGGACCGCGAGGCGGAGCAGGTGGTCAGGGTGACTCAGAGGAAGCAGGGTGAAGCGGGTGCCATTGTCTCCTGGACGGTCGCATTTCTCACCCTCCTGGTAGCTGATTGTTGTGGCTGTGGAAGCCAGCTGGGCTTTGTCCTCTTCAGCTGGGGGACTCACACCTGCCCAGATGCCATGGTTCCAGATGGAAGGTCAGGGAGGGGAGATCAGCACAAGTGACAGAATGACTTCCCTGGACTAGATCCTGGGAGTTGCAGACACTCCCAAGCTTCCAACAGGCTTGTGGTGGAGGGTTTGGGTTGTGTGCGTGTGTGCATGTGAGTGAGCGGAGCAGACATTATTGGAAACTGGAGCGAGGAGATGAGGAGGCTTAAGGAAGTATTACTGAAGGTTCATGGTCGGGAGAATGACGTGGGTCCCCGCCCCTCCCCAGCTCTCCCGCCAGCTTCTCATTGACTGAGGGCAGGGTGGCACTCGTAGGGCATTTGCTCCTGCTGGCCTGCCAAGCAGCTGAAGGACAGAAAATGGAAAGAAGAAAATAGCTCAGTATCCTCAACCAGCAGAGAGAACTCAACCGAGAGGCGAGGGTTCCTTCCGCAGGCCCAGCCTGGCAGGAGCCGCTTTTTCAACACATTCCAGTCCAGGGACTTGCAGGCTCCCTTCCCCCTTTGTGTCTTTTCTTATATTTTACAGATCCCCAAAGGGGAAGCCTCAAATTTGAGCAGGCCAAATTGTCCTTACCAAATTGGAAAGGAAGGTGAAGCCGTCCTTTCCACTGCCAAAGAACCCTTCTCAAAGGCACCTCCAGAGATGGACACAGTGGCGTTCCTCTCTTTCCTTTCTGGGCAATAATGCCATCAGGAGTGAAGCAGTTCTGTTTGTAACTGTTTTTCTCTCTATCCTGACTTCTTTGTTTTAATTGCATTTATTTCAAAACTGCACTCATCTTTTAAAAAGAGGAGTAGAGTAGTGACCCTCCACATTGCTGCTACTGGGAAACCGGAGCTCTTGCATCGACCTGGGCACGGAGCTTGGAGCTGCTGGGCAGTTCTGCGGCCTCGAGGCTTAGGGCGTGCTGGACTCCACTGGGCTTGGCCGCTCCTTCCCACTCCCCTGCCTCAGGACTCACTCCTTATCTCAACAGACAGTCAAATCTCAGCAGGTCACTAGAGAAGAGAAGCCGGCTCAGTGGAATTTATATGCAAAAGAAATCGCTTCAAGGCTTTTGGCCCTGCTGCTCAGTGTAATGACCCAATCAAGTAGAGGTTTCTGGTGATAGGGCAGCTTTCAGAAATTCAAGAGAGAGAGCTAGCTCCATGCTGGTCTTCCCTTCAGACTCAGTTTACAGAGACGTGGCCCCTGCCGCAGACCCCAGCACAGAGCGGGCTTCCTGATGCCTTTACGAGTTCCTCCTCGCAGACCCACAGCCTCAGTGTCCAGACTAGCAATATCCCTCACAGGAGGACTGGCGAGCATCATGTTGTGGAGCCATCACAGCCATCCCCTTGAGAAAAGGGTAGTTTCCCCCTCCCCACCCACTGACAGATAAGGAAGCTGACACTCTGAGAARGTGGCACGTGTTAAAGAAAGAAAGCAATGGTGGTCCAGAATCCCCAAGTTTCTAGTCTATTAATCGTTAGTGGGCTCTTCGAGATGTGATTTTGTTTCACCTTTTTCATGAACAGCAATTGTGTGGCCTCATATTTCTGATGTACCTTTTAATGATATGCCCATTTCCTTTGTGCCAAACACTGTGCTAGGAATTGCCCGATGGTCTTATTTCATTTCACACTAACCCTACGAGATTGGCAATATCCGTCCCTTTACAGAGGACGTGTTGGGCTTGCAGAACTCTTAACCTTCCTGGGACCACCCAGCTGGTGAGAGGGGAGCCAGGGTCTGCCTGGTTCCAGAACTGAGCTCAGCCACCAGACCCAGCTGTCTCCTATGTGTATGTTGCAAAGAGAGGCCTTGAGGAAATGTCACCCTGTGCCCTGCCTGCTCTGTGGAGCTGAGCAGGTGAAAAGAGGGCGTCCCGAACTGGATGCAGGCAGAGGGGCAGAATAACTTTGACTTTTTAGAAAAATCTCTGGGGAGTTTCTTTTGATTCCTAGAATTCCTTTTAGATTTCTTTCCAGTGTACCAACTAGCTTTAGTAATGCTGCTAACTCTTATGAGAGTGAAGGGGGAAAAAAGTGTTCTTTTCTTCTTTAAAAAAAATAATTTTTCTTGCTTATAGTTAATTCTAGAAAGGCAATACTAAAGGTATATATTTTTTTCAAAATGCTATTTTTTACTGCACTTAATAAATATCATGACAGCTCTGATCTCTGTAACAGATCCACTCTTCAGCTCTGGGCAGAACCAGATGCAGGGTTCACACCAAATTTGTAAATACCATGTGTGGGTCTGGTATCCAGGAACGTTTTTCTTTCTGTAAAAAAAGAAAAAAGAAAAAAAAAAAGGAAGAAAGACAAGATGACTTCTAGAAAGAGGAACAAATTTTCTTCCAAGAGAGACACCCCTCTCAAAGAAATAGAAAACAACAGTGTGTAAACTGAGAAAAGTGAGACAACTTTCAGGAATTAAAGAAGCATCTCTGGCCCCAGTGTGAGATTGACAGTAATACAGATCCATTTCCACTTTGGTTGAAAGGTGGAAAGAATTCGATATGATTTGGGACTAGATTTTTAATTTTCCAACAAACCGTCATCACATGCTATGAAGTGTCTGCTCAGCTGTTTGGGGGTGGGTTTCTCATTTCTCGTTTCCTTTAGAAACTTCTTGGTTGACTGGCTCCAGGCTTGTTTGCCTAAATTCTTAGGTAGTTTACACAAGTTCTAGAATCTTTTTAGAATTTTAACTCCATTGGAAGCAAACCCAACTGGTCAGAATCGGAATTCCTGGTTGTGTCAACAGGTATTCTGGAATTCTGACAGAACACCTAAAGATTCTTTTAGAAGATTCTAGATACATTATCTTACACAAACTGTGACCTAATGGCAATAATTACCTCAAACGTGGGCATTCATCCTGGGTTTAGCCTTTTTTGAAATCATGTAGCCAGCTTGATCTTGGGATTTAAAAAGCTATGAATTCTGTGTGGGCTGAAAATAATGATTAGCGCACACCCTGGTCATCGTTGCTTAAGTGAATTCTGAAAATAGTTCATCTTTACAACAAGAATGAAACCAAGGAAGAGATCATTCTTTGTGTTATAATCAAATATGATGTTCAAACGCACATGGAGCATGTATGTTTTTAGCTACTGTAAAATGCTGTTAGCTTTCTGGGATATCAAGAGAATCTCATTTTAAATGAGTAAACTGAATAATTGACTGTGGATACTTAAGCATATCTCTGGCTACATTTTAAAGTGTTTTATAGTTTACATTTAAACTGGTACTTTTTAAAGACAATTTCTGTTTCTAACTGACTTCTTCAAACCCCCGCGATGGTTTGCCTCCTTGGGTTGGAGGCCATGTCTCCAAAGGCAGGTGTTTTGCCCGTTCTGTTCTGTCCCCCAGTACGTGCGTTTTCCTCCATATTGTTGGTTTCCAAGTGAACTTGAGAGAATGTGAAAGGAAGTCCAGCTGGAGTGGGAGGGGCGTGTCCCGACCTGGGCAGATGCAGTCTCGCGCCTTGTTGGGCCAGCATTTGTCTTCAAGGCCTTGTCCTTGACACCTTGGAGGAGGCAGTGAGAACTGATTCCTGGTTCCTTGATTTTTGTCTTGATTGAATATTTAACTTATTATAGATCCACTCACTTCCACTCACTAGGCAGTAGAAGACACTGGGATTTAGGTGGCCCTGAGGGTACCACTATTCACTCTGGGGCCCTGCTGGTATCCCTGTCAGTGTTTTGCAAGGGAGAACCGTGTGTCCCTGTGGCCCTGTTCTCTGGCTGGGACTTCCATACAACTGCTGTCTTTTACTCATTTTCTCTTTTAAAACAAAATCCCTGTAAAAAGGACAGGTGTACATGTTGCCTAGTGTCAAGCTGAGATGTGAAGCTGGGCCTGGTGGGAGGGACTTGGGGTTCCACTCAGAGACTGCACGCACTGCTCAGCCGAAGGAGCTGGGATCGAGGGGCAGCCCAGGGCCTTCCCCTGACACCCAGTCTGTAGGGAAGGGATGTGGAAGGTCATGAGAGAGGCTTCAGACACAGGAGCAGGCCCCACAGTCAGGCAGGAGCAGCCTGGGGAGCTGCCAGTTCCGCTGAGAGCCTAGTTTGGTTTTCATTGTGCCACCACCAAACTGTGGAGGACCCATTGTGACCCTTCCTCCAGCAGCAGAGACCTTGAGAACTGCAGAGTACCTGGGACCAGGGAACTCTTCACACCACGCGTTGGCTTTTCCAGGTGAGCCCCGCTGACAGGCTGTGTTCCTTGTGGCTTTGTTAGATTGTCAGTGGAGGATATTCTCATCTCACTCCTCTCAGCCATCCTCCCACGGTCCTGTGGGTGCATGTTCCTTTGCACTAACTGGCCACATGAATTTTGTGTTATTGTCTTTGGGGCTTACCCTCATTTTTTAAAACTAAAGATATAGAAATTCACTTTTCTTTTTTTATTTTTTTAATTTGAAAAGTGCATTGTATCTGAAAAAGGGCTCAGCCATTGCTCTCTCTAGTTTCCTTTCACCCAGTTTCCAAACAAACCTCTCCTGGCGCCTCCCTCCCCCTGCTTCCTTGTTTTGGGTCACTGTCCCTGTGGCCACCTCTGCCTCTGCCCTGCTGTCACCACAACCCTGTGCCCCTCCACCCAGGACTCCAGAAGTCAAGAGTCAGCAAGAAGGGCCCACTTGTCCTCAAGAGCGGTCCTGCCTCCCTTCTGCTGCTTGCCGCTGAGGGCAGAGGACTTCCTCTTGCTGTCTCGTGAGGCGGGCTCAGGTTAGAAGGAAGAACTTGGGATGTGGAAAGGGATTAGACTGTGCCATCTTCTGTAGTTTTGGAGCATAAAGCATCCCCCCCGACCCCACCCTTCAAAGCAGATGTCCCTATTTGCTCTGCCTTCAAATCTGTGGGCTTCCCACCCTCCACAGTCCCTCACTTCGGTGTCACTACTCTTAAAAGCTTTCTTTCTCCCATGGGTCTCCCAGGGCGCAGTCCTCTCTGGGACCCACAGCATCTCTTCACCTCTGCGTGTGCATTTTTTTAACCAAATGAAGTGGACAAGAAAGGCATCCCTGGGGCGGCAGCACTAGTTGAGTAGGAGCCCTGTGTAGATAGAGACGTTGATCTGTGTGTTTGTGTATATATATCAAACCAAGCTCCTGACAGGGAAAGTACAGCTTTACAGAAGAGGAGAGAGGGGCCCTTGAGAGGTTGGATGGGGCAGCCATGGAGTGTCCAAGGAGCGCACAGTGTCCCTGCTCCTGCACGGCCCTATTCTCCACCTCGCCACAGTGGGGCCAGGGACCCCAAGGGTGCTGGTGCTCTCTCAGGGTCCCCAGCATCAAGGGCATAGACGGGTGAGGGGGCAACAGATCAGAAGGACTGGAATTTTCCATCCCGTTTTGCTTTGACCACATGTATTGAGCTGCAGCCTGATATTATATCATGTTTCCAAAAACGGTATCCATTAAGATGGAAGAGAAGAGATCCCTAGAAATGTTTACCTTTCCACCGCCCATGACTTCAGGACACTGGATAGAAAGACACACTCCCCAGATAACAGGGAAGAGGAGACCTGGCGACACGCAGTCCCCAGTCCAAGGAACGTGGCTCCCTCCCCAAGGTCATCTCACCTAGACCATTCTCTACCAGGTCATCTCAGCTCAATCTCAATTACCCCATAAACCCTGGTCCGTTGTGTTCCTTCACTGTACGGTTTCTGTAATAAAAAGTGTTAATCCATGTTAATCTGTGTGGAAATTATTGCGTGCAACGGTATTTTCTCGTGTACCTCTTTTCCTCTGTGAATTGTCCCTCTTTTCTTTTTTATTTATAAACGTCTACTTTTTTTTTTTAAAGACAACCCAATGTGTTGTAGACCTATATGTAACCTATTCCTTAGTCTCATATTATAGGTATAAGAATGGATATTTTACTTGGCTTTAGAATGTTTTACAAGAAAACTAATTCTTAACTGATCGAGTCCTTGCTACTAAAATGCTTGTGTTTTTCATCATGATGTCGTGTGCTTCTAAATTAATAATCATTTTCGTTGTAGAAAAATGGAGTGAATTTATATTAGTCTTGGAAACTAATAATAGCATTGTAAATTTATGAGATGATTTTAACAGAAAAAAATTATAGAAGAATATAGTTATTTTAATTGTAATATTACTAACTGTAGGGTGAGAAGGGGGGGGTCCCGTTGTGGTGAACTATGTTATAGCTTGTTACTCACAGTTTCTTTTTTGATCATTTTTTCGGTATCTGAAGTGAAACGAGTTATTAATTAAAATTTGTAAACTCACATATGCATATTGTATATGTGTAGAAATGTAATCACACTTTGTCTTGGAATTACATTAAACTGTTTGGAATCACTGTACGCTCGCCTGGCGCGCTTATTTATCCACACCAGCTACAGTCCAAAAAAGTTGTTGCAAGTAACATCTTTCTGAAGTTATTTAGCCCTTTAGAAATTATTAAATACCTCTGAAAATGTCCAGAGCCCACCACCACCTCCCAACTTTACAGAGATGACGGTGTGACTGGAGAGAGGGGCCTCCAGGTCATGTCCTACCAAGGCCTGTGTGGCAGAGTGAGAGTGGCTTAGCTCCCCATTGCCTCCTGGGTGCCGTCCAGCCCCATCTGCACCCACGATCCATCCCCGAGGCCCAGGGCTGTCCTGCTTAGCTTGCCGGCTTTCCTCCAAGATCTGGGAGCTGCGTCCCCGCCCTGCCTTCTCCACACTGGGCCTCGGTGTCAGCAGCGTGAGCAGGGCCCTGCAGTTCCCCAGCGGAGCTGGGTGCCCCACAGCCCCTCCAGGCCTACCCCTACTGCTGCAGCTCAGGAGGCCAGGGAGGCCCAGGAGGTCAGCCTCCTAACCACGGCTCCATCCTCCCGGTGATCTTTTTTCAGTTTTAATTTTGACATAATGCACCTAACATAAAATTTATCATTTTGGCCATTTTTATGTGTACAGTTAGTGGCATTGACTACATTCCCACTGTTGTCCCATTGTGGCCACTATCCAACCCCAGAACTTGATCTCATCATCCCAAACAGAGGCTCTGTACCCATTAAACGTAAGTCCCCAGCCCCTCCCCCAACCCTGGCACCACCCTTCTACCCTGAGTCCAGTAAGTTTGCCTATTCCAGATGTTCCATATACGTGGGATCCTGTGATCTTTGTCCTTTCGAGTCTTGTTTATGTAACTCAGCACAATGGTGTTAAGGTTCATTCCTGTTACAGCGTGTATCGGAATTTCCTTCCTTTTTTAAGGCCTCAAATAATAATGATCCTTCATTGTGTGAACGACTACATTTTGCTTGTCAGTCTGCTGATAAGCACTTSGTTTGCTTTCAAACCAAGTAAATGATGAGGCCCTTGGTGGACAAGCACTTTCACATTTCTGCTTTTTGCTTTTGGATGCACACACAGAATGCAGTCACTGGGTCACATGGTGATCCTGAGTGAACCTCTGGAGGAACCGTCACACTGTTCTCGACCGTGGCTGTGCTTTCTCACACTTCCACCAGCCACACGCAGGGTTCCAGTTTCTCATCCCGCCCCAACTCTGGTTCTGGCTTCCATTACCGGGAAATTGCACCTTTAGGCTCCTTTGCTTAACTCCTTAGTCCCCAACTCTGCCCATCCTCCCACCGGGACCCTCTTGCTTCAGCCCCGCTCACCTCCGTGGATCCACTCAGCCATCTACCTTCCCTGCTCCCGAGAGCTGCTGAACAGACACCAGCCTGCACACCCGTGGCCTGCAGCCTCCCAGGCCTCCCATGCCATCAGCTCCTTGGCTACCCAGAAGCCAGCATCTCCAGGACCTCTGCTGGCTCTGCTCACACCTGCTCCCCTCCAGGGTAAGCCGGAGCATGCCCAGCCCTCCTGCCCCTGGTGGATGGGCAGCCTCCGCATCTTTCCCCTTGAGTTTCTGGGGCAGAAGGACCCTGGGTTCCACTGCATCTTCCGCTCACTCCCCAGATCTCATTCTCTTTCAAGCATCCCCTCCCTCTCCTGGAGCTCCACGTGTCTCCATAATGTCCTTGAGAAGCAGCCCAAGTCATCTCAGGGAAGCTTGCACTAGAGCGCTCGGCGGCAGCAGTGCTGCTCGTCTGGATTCCCCAACCCTGTGCGTAGTTGATATTTTCTGTCCCCACAAAACCACAAGAGCCTTGCAGGTCAGGGTTTGTCTTTCATCACGGTTTCCAGGCACCTGTTACAATGCCAAGCACAGAGTGGGTGGCCAATAGAATTTGGATGAATGAGCAAACTGCGCAGCCTGCCCTCATTCCCCACCGACCCACCTTGCCACTCTGAAATTTCAGTGTCTCCCAGGATCCCAGCAAGACCACCCAACACAACCCGAAGTATGACCAATACTTGGATTAATTCAAATTATGTAAAAACTCACAGAAAGATCTCAACAGAACTTCAGAACTCTTCTACCAAGCATTTTAATTAAATGCATAGCCGGGGATCCTATCTATAGGAGTGGGGGAGGGAAACCAACCCTGTAGGCCAGAAGGGATGTATGCCTAGCCCACATGAGAACATGTCAAAGGGTCAGTTATAGCGGTGAATAAGCAGCTCGCCACCAGTGTCCCTGGGAGGTGATTTAGATCCAAAGTGAAAAGACAGCTTACTGCTTCAAGTATTTTCCTCAAACCTGCTCAATATTGGGGTAATAAAAGTGGTGAGGGGCTCACTTGGACCATGATGAGCAGGAAGCAGAACTCCAATTTCCATAACAGGCTCATTTCCCAGTTGAGCCCAGGAGAGCCAGAGAAAGGCCAGCCCAACAGTTAAATGGAATGGACTCTCACTTAGAGGCCATCTTGTCACAGTGCGGGGCGGGGGGGGGGGGGKGTCTTTGGCTTCAGAGGGAGATGCTCCTGCATCACAAGCCCCTGGCTTTTAGGGCAGGTTGCTGGGTGGCAGAGCTGGAGTCCTGGTCTGTTCCAAACAGCCAGGTGTGAGGAGTATTTTTGGGGGGTGAGTCAGGCTTCTACATTGTTTCCTAACCCTATACCAGAATGGAAGAGCTTAACAAATATCAAATAGTATAAAGCAGACCAACGTGGACAAGTAACGAAGGCTTTGGCCTCTCAGAATCTCTCAACTTCCATTTCCGGCTCTTCCCTTTCGCCAGTTGTCAGAAAAGGAGCCTCAGGTCTTACTCTCACCCTCCTCTCACACTTTACAGCCAACATGGGTCCTGCTGCAAGTATKTTCCTCCTAGGAAACTTACATCCTCTGCAATGTTAGGGCTTGGATAGGGGATGTCCCCCAAGAAGATTGTGCTTGGCAATGCAGGAATGTTCAGAGATGAAATGATCCGATTATGAGAGCTGTAACCTAAACAGTGGATTAATCTGTTTGATGGATTGATAATCGAATGGACTACTGGGTGGTAACTGTAGGCAGGTGGGCATGGCTGGAGGAAGTAGGTCATTAGGGATGAGCCCTGGGGGATGCTGTCTTTTCCCCCCCACATGATTTTTTCCCCCACATGATATTATAGATGCATTATAGTGGCACATAGTGATAGGATTTGTTGTTCCATATTCACACATGAATATAATATAACAATATAATTTGGTCAATATCACTCCCCAGCACCCCCCCCCCTCCCAGCCTCTCACTCCCTGGTCCTTTTCCTCTAATGATCTCCCTTTGATTTTCCTGAGAACCCCTCCCCTTCTTTTCCTGTTTCCTCTCTAGTTTCTGCATATGAGAGAACACATATGACCCCTGAGCTTCTGAGTTTGACTTTATTTGGCTCAACATGATGGCCTTTAGTTCTATCCATTTTCCCACAAATGGCATAATTCCATTTTTTCACGGCTGAATACAACTCCATTGTGTGTATGAGCTCACAGTCCTCCAAGACTGAGCCCAAAATAAACCTTTCCTCCCCTAAGTTGATATTGTCTGGTATTTTGGTCACAGTGACACAAGATGTCCTTTATACTGTACATTTTCTTTGTCTGTTCATCAGTTGATGGACACCTAGGCTGGTTCCATAGTTTAGCTGTTGTGAATTGCGCTACTATGAACATGGGCATACGCGTATCGCTGTAGCAAGACGACTTTAATTCTTCAGGACAAATACCAAGAAGTGGTATATCTGGGTCACATGCTGGTTCCAGGCCTAGTCTTTTAGGGGAGCTCCATAGTGATTTCCATAGTGATCGTACTAATTTACAATCCCATCAACAGTGTCAACAGTGTTCCTCTTGCTCCACATTTTCTCCAACATTTATTATTATGTGTATTCTTGATGACTGCCGTTCTGACTGGTGTGAGATGAAATCTTAATGAAGTTTTGCATTTCCCTAATTGCTGATGATATTGAACATTTTTTTAATATATTTATTGGCCATTTGCATTTCTTCTTTTGAGAAGTGTCTGATTCATTTGCTCATTATTAATTGGGTGGGGAGGATATCTTGTCCCTAGCTCTTTTCTCTCCCTGCCCCCGCCCCTACTTCCTGGCTGCCATGAGCTGAGCAGCTCCCCTCTGCCCTGCCCTGCTGCTGATATTCCGCCTCTCATTGGGCCCACAGCAACAGAGTCTGCCACCCACGGACTGAACCTCCAAGACTGTGAGCCCAAAATAAACCTTTCCTCCCCTAAGTTGATATTGTCTGGTATTTTGGTCACAGTGACACATGGTGTCCTTTATACTGTCTGACACTACTTGAGGATGAGAAGATTCCACTGACCAGCAACAATCCTTATCCTCACTCTGTAAGGAAGAGATGGATAGTAGCAGCCCTGCCTCTCCCAGGATCAGGAGGCCATCCCATGCTGTTTCTTTCTTTCTTTTCCTTCTTCTTCTTATTCTTCTTCTTCTTCTTCTTCTTCTTCGGTGGGGGTAGTTGTTTGTTTGTTTCACAATACCCTTTTTTTTAATAATTTTTTTTAGTTGTAGTTGACACAATACCTTTATTTTATTTATTTATTTGTATGTGGTGCTGAGGTTCGAACCCAGGGCCTCACACATGCTAGGCAAGCGCTCTACCACTGAGCCACAAC